TAATCATAAAAGCTAATTTAAAAAATAATATTTTGGGCTTGCCAGATACTCAGCATACTAAAGCGCCTGCTTAGGCAGAGGACGGTGGCTGGTGTTCAAACCCTGGCGTGCTGTGTTGGCCCCACCCCCGGGATACACTGAGACAGTGATTGAGAGTAGCCTTGGTGACGCATATCTATAATCCCAGCACTTGGGAGGTTGAAAACAGGAGGACCACTACAAGTCTGATCTATGTAGTGAGACTCTGTAGGCTCTGTACCAAATACAAATAATAATAAATTATAATAATGTTTATGGTAACTTTTAAGTGAATCCACCTTGGTGACTAGCTGTATGTGAAATATTTATAGTATGTGAATATAAAAAGGACAGAAAATAACTTAAGTTTTGAAAATGTCTCAATCAAATAGTTATTCACTCTTTCAAAGGAAGTAATACTGCCTGACAAGTGAAAGGTCCTGAGTTCGATTCCCACTGCCAATAAAAAAGCTACCAGCATAAAGCAAATAAAATTAGAAATATTCTCACCCATATAAAGAAAATTTTTGAAAAGGAGCAATAACACACAAAGATGGAAATTCCCCAAGAAAGTACTTCCCGTCTTGGGAGTTAGAAATGTCTTCTAACCTGCTTTTGGCAAAATGTTTCATCTGCTCTGTAGTTATTTATTTGCATTTTACTAGATAAACCCAACTCCTTTGCAAAGCCTTTGGGAGTTACATCACTCTAATGAGAAAAGAGTATGCCTATTAACAAACAAGAAGCATAGATTAAGCCTTTTGAAAGTGCTGATTAAAAAATAAAGTAACAAAATATAAACAAAATGCTTATTAAGTGAAAACTAGCTAGCTCTCATGGCATAATTTAAAGCCTTTATCAAGTATTTTCTCTCTGGTTGCAGATACCTTGTCAGTTCTAGAAAGACTGCTTGGAAGTTCTATGTGGAAGGGTGGCCCACGGGGGGGGGGGGTATTTTCCTTATCACACCTGTGCTTAATGAATTGCATTTTTGCAAACTTGGCCATTTTCAAGAAAGAAGAAAGGAAGGGTTTCATGCCAAAAGATCAAATAAAAATAAGAAACAGAAACTACTGTAGCTTATTTCTATCTAATCTACCTATGGAAGACCATGAAATTCATAAAATATGCCACAGGATCTTAAGCACCAAAGAAGGTTCCAGAGGTCACTCTGTCAATGACCACCCCCTAGTGGGACTGGAAGACATTAAGACCAGGATAAAAACCAAAGGTTTTCAAGATATCCAGCCTACTATGATCTAAATGTAACCTTTTGGGTCAAGAAGTTATTTCTTACTACAGAAAAGATTTTTCCCCCCTAAGGAGAAAGAATTTGTTTACAGGAATGTTATCTATAATATGTTTATGAGTCTTAAAGAAAGCACATTTTTCACTTGGGAAAAACTGCCTTGTAAAACTTTCCTGGGTGTGGAGGTGCCCCCTATAATCTTGTACTTGGGAGATTGATCACAGTGAGTGAGGCCAGCCTGGGCTACATAGTTCAATCTTGCTACATAATATAGTTCAATCTTGTCTCCACAAAGAAACGAAACCTTATGCCTCAAATTGTCTTAATTCCAATTTTTCTGTATGAATGGATCTCACTAATTATTTTTTTGTGTAGCCAAACATGTCTCTCCAGTCTTCAGCTTCAATAAAATCAGTGCACAGTGCTGTAATTCAGATGCCATTGTTGCTCATTTTCTTCATTGACCCTCTACAGTAACAAAATATGCAAATCATCCCCCTTATCTATACACACACACACACACACACACACAAATATATGTGCTTCTTTTGTTCAAGAAAATTTAAACTCTCTGAAGTGCTGAGAAAATCTTAGTACTGTAGCAATGCCAAGGAGAAACTGTTTTAAATGAAAATTTGTTCTGTCTCTGCTGTATACACACCATGACACAACTACTAGGCTTTCTAAGGCGTCACTGGTATAGAAGAAAACCCTCTACCATATAGTATTTGAGGCAAAAAATTCTCCAAGGAATGAGGATGCCTTGGATATGTTGTTGCCACATGGAAAGGAGCCCTTGAAACAAAAATCAGGAGGTAATATTTAACCTTTTAACATATTGAAGTCTAATTCACATACAATACAGATCACACATCTCAAGTTCAGAACTTTGATTTTTTAGGAACTTTTCCAAATTCTGTAGTCACTTCCACAATCTAGTTGTAGAACATTTATTTTCATCACTTTGATAAGATAGTTATTTGAGTATTCATAGTTAATTCATTTTCTAAGCAGCAACCCCGGACACCCACAAATCTACTTTCTGTCTCTATAGACTCTTGTTCTGGTTATAGTTTCCTTTCCAAATTGAGAATTTTTTTTTTCTTAAGAAGAAGGAAATCCAAGGGGATACCCTGTAAGTTAAAGGACCCTTGTTTACTGAGGAAGATACCCACTGTGCTAACTTATTCTTCAGAAATCTCAAGGGAGTTCAAAGGAATCCTGGACAGCAATGACAGTGTGGACTGTAAGATTTAATTGTCTCCCATTAGAGACAATGGACAAGTTATAAGGGGTTTTGGTAATGAGAGAATACAGTTACAAACCCTGTTATCTTAACTAGAACAATGTCTCTCTCTGCTTCCAAAGTTAAATGAAAACAACAAAAACTTACAAGTGAAAGGGTTAATGCCTTAGCATTCCTATAAAATTCAGTCAAATATTATTTATAGGTTTGCTTGTGAGAGTAGAGGTTTTCAAGTTCCTTTGAAAAATTATGCATCTGTGGCACTGAAATATAAAAATTGTTTCTCAAAGCAAGGTGGCCCCCAAGCTCTCTTAGGTATATTATTCTAATGCATTTCGAGTACAGTAAATATATCAAATTATCATGTTTTTGATTGACAAAACACCTTTCTAACCACTTATTTCCTTCCTCCAGAAACTGTCTATTTTGAGAAAGCTTAGCTTTGGGTTTATCTTGCTTACATCTTGAGTTCCAGGTTCCCTCCCCTTTGGAAGGTACACCCTGCTTCCCAGAAACTAAGTATTTTACAAGGAGCCCTTTTATATTTGAAAGAGCAAACTGTTTTGTCGAGTGATGATGAGAAATTCCAAAAAAACTCTCACCCAGACAGGACTTTAACTTTGGGGAAATCTATGGCACTTTTTCAATTTGGAGGGCTGGTCACAGAGATTCCTCAAGAGTTATTTTACACCACTTGCAGGGAACTGAGATTTGCTGTGGTTGTTTTTAATTCCTTGCATTAACACAAATACTAGTTTTGTGTCTTTAAAGTGTTGGAGATTTTATAACCCATACAGTTCAAATCAGCCCTATGGCAGTTACTGAAGGTGGAACTTTTCGAGAAAACAAATGTCTTACAGAAATAAAATATTTTGTTAGTAGCTTTAATATGATCTCAAAGCAAAGGGAACCTCGGAGCCTCTAGGTGAGGGGTAGAAGTTTGAAATGCGGTTGTCAGGATTACTGTGAAAGGCTTGGACTTCTTCTTCTTCTTCTTCTTCTTCTTCTTCTTCTTCTTCTTCTTCTTCTTCTTCTTCTTCTTCTTCTTCTTCTTCTTCTTCTTCTTCTTCT